CTGCTGCTGGTGCTGGTCTCTGTGTGGGGGCTGTCTGGCTATCATCAGATGCTGGTCCCTTAGGCAGGGCGAGAGGAGGCTGAGCTGCTTCCCCGCACCTGCTGCTGCTGCTGCTGCTTGTAGAAGCAGTGATGTTGCTGCTGGTGCTGCTGCTGTTGCTGCTGCTGCTGTTGCTGTTGCTGCTGCTGCTGCTGCTGCAGAAAGCGGGATCCTCCTCCTCCTCTAGACCGCCGCTGGTTGTCGCCGTGCTGCTGGTGCCAATGGGGCTGCTGCCCCCTTCATGGTCTTTGCGGCAGAGAGGCAGCTGCTGCAGCTGCTGCAGCTGCTGCAGCTGTGTGCAGCAGCCCCCCGAAGACCGCCAAGGCCGCCCCACCTCCCTATACACCTCAGATACAACTGCAGCAAGATAGCGCCGCAGTGCAGCAGTAATCATGTTGGCTGTTTCAGGCCGTACACAGAGAGAGAGGCTACTACCCCCAGGCTGCTGCAGCAGTTGCTGCTGCAGCACTGGCTGCTGCAGCAAATGCTGCTGCTGCTGCTGCTGCAGCATGTGCTGCTGCAACAGCACGCTGTGCTGAGGCGGCTGCTGAGACAGGAGGGGCCCCTGCGCCGACGACCGCGGGTGCTGCACCACCTGGCCAGGGGGGCCCACAGGGGCCCCCATAAGCAGAGAGGGGTAGCAGGGAAGAGGGGGCTGCTGCTGCAGCGGCTTGCCTAGGCAGGAGATATGACAAGGGGGATAGGAAGCAACAGGAGCACAAGGAGACGGACAGCTAGGAGGTAAGGGGGGGCCCCTGCTGCAGGGGGCCCCTCCAGAGACCCACACAGCAGGTGATGCTGCTCCCGCTGCTGCAGCGCCATCCACAGTAGCAGCAGCAACTGCTGATGTCAGACGAGATCCATCAACGCCCAAGCAAGAGGGGCCCCCTGCTGATACTGGGAGTTGCAGGGGCCCCGTGAGGGGCCCCGCAGCAGAGTGTATGGGGGAGCCTCCTGCACCCCTGCAGGCCGCGGCAGCTACCGGCAAGCCTGGTGCTGCCTGGTCCGCAACATATGGCCAGCAGTTGCATGGCTGCTGCTGCTGCTGCAGCGGCAGTGGAGGCGTGAGGGGAGTAACAGAGGGGGGGAGGCCCACCGGGCTGTCTGCTTCGCCCAGGAAGGACGGGGCCCCAGGGTGCTTAGAAGAGACCTCTCCAGAAGCCAGCAACATGTGAGAGGGGAGCTACTGCTGCTGCTGCTGTTGCTGGTGCTGCTGCTGCTGCTGCTAGTAGTCAAGCCAGCTTGTCTACGCTGCAGATCAGGGGGCGGGAAGGGCCCCTGGTGGTGCAGGATCATAGGCCTAGGGGGGAGTCAGCCTCCCGCCCTGTAAGCCTGGATGACCCTCCCCGTACTTCCCCCCACAAGACAATCGACGTGCTTATGTTTAAGATGCAGCCAGCCGGTGCTGCTGCTGCTGCTGCTGCTGCTGCTGCTAGACACGGAGAGAGGCTTGTACTACAGCCGCAGGGACGCCGGGCGCCCTACGAGGTGCCTTCAACTGAGCAGCAGAGCAAGCAACCATCGAGAGAAAACTGATGCTAGATTCGCTCCCAAGAGGGGAGACAGCAGGAGGCCCCCGGTGAAGATGGGCCCACACGGTTGGTGATGCTGCAGCGCTGCTGCAGCAGCTGCTGCTGAGGTGCCCCAGCAGCAGCAGAGGAGGCCCCAAGGCCTGCTACGCCCGCGGAAATGTCTGATTAAAATTAAGAAACAGCTTAAGGAGCCGAAGGAAGAACGAGGGACGGAGACGGAAGGATACCCTAGCCTAAGGAACCAACTAGGGGCATACTAGGCCCCGAGCTGGATCCCCTTACAGGCCAGAGATGTGCTGCTGCTTGTTCGCGCGGCAGGCAACAGGAGGCGCGGAACAGTGCAGTGAATCAACGCATAGCGAGCCCACATATCTAATGTTTCATTGATGCAACAAACAGCAACACCACAAGCAACACCTGCCTCCCCGGCCAGCCCGAGCAAGCCCCAGGTCTGCAACAAGTGGCCTCACCATCCCCTCCTGTTCCTACCAAATTAAACAACTGGTGTAAAATAATAAAACATAAATCAATCTATATCTTATTATACAAGTCTTGTTCTTCTTTCTATACCTGAAGCGGCCCTTATGAGCCCCACCGCCAAACACTCGGCCCGCCTACCCCCACCGCAAACACAGCAGCAATCGAATCACTGCAGCAACACCCCCCCCAATATCCCTAAAGAAGGTCTCATCAATACTCAGAAAAATAGCTAAGACCACGTACAAAGCCCACAGATGTGCCCTTCCCTTTATAGATTCTGTAAGATATGTCTAAATACACCATTACGCCCAACGACACACGCCAGCCATAGTCTCTGTTCATATTATATGATACCCCTTAAACAAGCTAGACAACAAGCCGCCAGAATTAGCTGGCCTCCCTGCTTCTTTAGAGGTATCCTGAGAACATATATTCACTCTCCTGCTGCTTGGGGGACGAGAGGGGCATGTACAGAGGAACCCCCACACCGGTCGAGGAGCTGCAGTAGAGTNCTGCTGCTTGGGGGACGAGAGGGGCATGTACAGAGGAACCCCCACACCGGTCGAGGAGCTGCAGTAGAGTGAAAGTACGTTATACAGGAGCTAACAAGAAAGAAGACGACCTTCGATTTAGCCTCCAGGCTTTCTCGGTACACCGCCACACACACCTGGTGATGGTGCGGACAGGAGGCGGCCTCTCACGTGCATGTTGTAGTACTCCTAGGTGCAACTGCTGCTGCTCGACAACACCACAGGAACCAATACATAATCTTCCTTCCGATACATGTGCTTGCATTGTAGACAATTCATAAATACTTATTTGGCCCTCAGTAGCCATCCAAAACTGAAATTTAGAGGTAGGCGGAGAAATACGCGTTGGTCTATGGCGTAAGCCGCCATCTTTACGGGAAACCAAACAGAAAAGAGCCTTCATTTATCTAGCTTCTTCGGCTGTATGACATCCAGTACACTATGCACAGCTTGTGTATAACCGCCGTTAGCACAGGAGCATTCACATGGCCTCGGTAGGTTGGTTGCAAGCAAATTCAAAAGCTCTATAAGTGTATTCAGAGGTAAAACAAGCAGGAAAGGAGGCTTAGGTGAAGCTCCCTCGTCCTCATACGTGAGGCTGGCTTGCATTGCCAGCTGCGAAGGCGTGCACTGCAGCTCCACTTAGGCTGCCTCCTCCCCTGCAACCCCAGACACTGAGATGAACAAAGGATGCCTGGAGACAGGGAAATGAGGCCAGCTGCTTTGGGAAAACTCTCATCTCAAGTTTTTGGCTTCATTTCAGTTTGTTTTCGTCCTTTAACTNGCCAGCTGCTTTGGGAAAACTCTCATCTCAAGTTTTTGGCTTCATTTCAGTTTGTTTTCGTCCTTTAACTAGGCTCGAGTACACCCATTACAGCGTGAGTCCACTAAAAATGATATGCCAGTGTTGAAGGCGACTGCGTACAGCCTTTTGCCACTGTTTCTTGCGCGGCTTTATTTTGCTTTCCTCATATCTTCCGAGTTTCTACAAGCAGTGTATGGACGTTTGCAATCGCTAGGATACGATGCTGGCTGAGAACGAGCAAGTCCAACATTCGGTCAGATATCGGGGTTCGGGTGTAAATGCGGGAAGCCTGTGAGGCCTGAGAACCTCAGGCCCAACTGCGTGCTTTTGCATTATAAACCCACTCCACAGAAGGAAGCAAAATCGAACAACTGTGATGAATTTTACTTCCTGTTGTGTTAAGGATGCCCCACAAGCGCGGTGAATCGCTCAGTTTGACAATCGATCTCCGGGTGGCTCGCGTTGGTCATGTTATAGCCGATACTATGCTGCATCACGAAGTAGCCCCAGAAGGTGCTAACAAACTTTGGGGCCCATCTTGGAATACTGGAAACTGAATCCGTTAAGCCATGCCACTTAGCCTTTGCTTCACATATCTTAGAGCTTTTCTCCTAGTGACTCGGCTTCGTGTACTAGTTAGACGAATCCCCGAATGTGTNTATCATCACGACAGAATCCTTGCATTCCTCCGTCATTCGTGAAATCACCCCTGCACTGCTTGGGAATTTCACTACTCCATTACTTTTAATACACCCGTAGGATGCCTTCCACCGTAGAGCATAAATGGGCCGTAGGGGGCACCGAAAGAAAGATTTGTTCACCTATTGTTTTCTCGCAATACTCGATTCGCTTCTGCAGGCCGTATCTAAGTCATGCGCGGCATCCCCATAATCACGACCAAGTGCGTTGATCCAACACAGATGTCATGAATCAACGTAGCGAGACACTTTTTTTCCAGTTCGACTCCATTTTATGCCAGTAGCTTTACCCATACTGTGTACCATCTGCAAAGATTAGCCACATGTACTGAGATTAGCAGTCGGCTCCGCCGTTCCGGACCCTAAGTAATCTGAACCTCTCGGCATCATCTGCCAAATGTCCGTCGCAATTTCCCGTATACGAACGTGAATAGCCTCCGGCATGGTTTGACAAGGATAGTTCGATGCACCACCAGCTTTTCCAACCCCACCACTGCACTGTGTGTTTTGATTGGTTCAATGTGTTTCCCTGATAGCTACAAATGCCATCCATTCGCAGGTATCCTCTACTCTCCATCCTTCTTGATGCGCCTGCAAATTCAAAGTATGTGCAGTAGAAACGGGCGATCCCATATGCTTTTTTCCCTTTCTCTTGCTGCCAGTTGCTGCCGCTTACTTTCCGCTCGGTCCCTTTCTGGGCCAGGCTAGGTAGCCGAAATTTCCTCTTCTCTAAAGGTGTTTGTTCTTCATTATGGCCAGCTGAAGCAACGCATCCGTGCGCCTTTTCACTGTAGACCCTGTTGGTGGTGTTCTTGATAAACTGGTCACAGTTTACCCAGAGGACCCCTGATCTAGTTGAGCGTGCTCACCATCGAGCACGCTTGTTTCTTTCAAACATATATTCCACCTTAGTGTCTTCCAGAGCAGTGCGTTGCAGACTAAGCCTGCTGCTGAAACCTACATTCAGTAAGCAGCCAAATGCTTGTAGTCAGACTAGCGTGTAGTGCTGCAGCCTGTCTTCAACCGGCATGCTCTTCGTTCCCGTGAGAAGGGCATCTTTCGATAAGTGGGTTGTGGGGATAAGGTTGTAGATGCTTTTCACGCAAACAGTGAATGCTAATCGTTTACTATCTTAGTCCATATGGTATTTATGCAAACGAAAGTGGCGTCTGTCGCCGTGAACTTTATAGAAAGCTTTAAACCAGGCACCGTCGTGTCTAGGGATGGTTGACTGTAGCCCGAGGCCAATATTAGGATGCACACGAGGACCACGTTCATTATGCAATAGAAGGAGAGAGACCAGTTATAACTGCAGTGGAAGCATACGTTCTCTTCCTTTATTCTGCATTTATGCCGCTGAGATGCTGGAGGGAGCCCGTAGCAGTTGGGTTGATGGTCCTCTATGCAGGGAGAAAAAAGGCAGCTCTCATGTTTGAAAAATCGAAGAGGCCGATATTCATCAGGCAAAATGGTGCGTTTTCTTAGATGTATGCAAGTACTTTGGTCAGCTATTGAGTGTGGCAGGGTCAAGTAGTACACGTGCATAGGGGTGTTTAGGTGAATACACACGAGCTTCTCACTTGGCTAGAACTGATATCTCACACTTCTTCTTTCCAGACGATGCGCATTTAGTGTGGAGATGCCCAATTAACTGCTATAGCCCTGCCCCTTTCGAACTTGGAATGTGTGGCAGTCAAACGTTTCCTATGTGAGAAAAGTAGCCCTTTTGTGACACTGAGTGGATCTACCACGGCTTACATGTTCTTTTGTAACTTCCCACAGCGTCAAGCGGCTCTGCATATATTTTTCCTGCTCTGATATTCAAGGAGGTAAAAACTGGAAGTTGTGTAAGACGGCGTGGCCCAATGGATAGGGCGTCTGACTTCGGATCAGAAGGTTGTGGGTTCGAGTCCCATCNGTAAGACGGCGTGGCCCAATGGATAGGGCGTCTGACTTCGGATCAGAAGGTTGTGGGTTCGAGTCCCATCGTCGTCTCTAGTCTCTGCTTTTAAAGCCTGGCAAAAAAACTGCGATGGAGATATCAATTCTTTTGTGTACTGATGTCTACTGAAAATCGAGCTCGAGAATGGATCACCTAGACAATACTTAGGGGAGTGCATATGTTGGCATCAGTACCCAAAAGCTGTCTCGGAGGCTCGCAGACATTGCCGCCAAAACACCAGATGCTTTGTACGCCTCAGCAAATTGATATTCTGCAAGAATTCTCATGATCACTGGAAAAATGAACTTTGGATTTCCGTCTTGAAGATTACGCTTTAACCGTCGGACTAGGAAGATGAGTAATACCCGTGCCTACAAGCTGCGCTAGAAAAGCTTGTCCAATATATGAGCAGCTCAAAGCAAAACGTTTGGCACCAAAATAGGGGCGGTTGTTGAGTATCTAGGAATCTCGCCACGCTTATACATTGGAAGAACAGTAATTTGGGAACTGTTCCAACTTGACCCTTCTTCGCCAGTATATTGTATGACCGGTATAATCGGGGCCAGCTTCGAAACGCGTTGAGCATATCAATCCCCTAATTCATCTTTGCTTTTCGCAGTTCATCTTACACGGAAAAACAAGCTATATGCTGGGGCGCAAAAGGGGAGTGAAGGGAAGCAAGGGGCCAGATGGTTCACTACGGAGCTCGAGGGGAAAAATCATAGTCTGACTTAACTGAAACGCCTGCTTCTATTTAAAGCTGATCCGTCTGTATACAGAAATCATTTTCCCTAGACAGCTTCAGAAACGGCATCTCTGTTCTCTGAGCTCTGTTGCACCCGGAGGCCCTCTTGCTGAACGCCAAGACAGCCAATTCCCTGACAAAAATGCTTGAGCTCTTCTTTGCACAAGCCATGACTTGCTGCCAATAACACAGGGCAAGGGCACCACTCAATTTCCCGCCACACCATGAAACAACCAACGTCATGTGAAGATCTGCCCGTGGAATTGATAGAAGTTGGAATTGATAGTATCTATGTCGTTGTAGATCGGTTTAGCGAATACGCTCACTTTATTCCCTGGTCGAGCACAGTCACAGCAGAAGGAATGGCTCAGCTATTCATTAATGTGTTGAAGCGCCCTGCGTTTCCAAAAAGCATCGTCACCGACAGGGATACGAAGTTTGTTAGCTCCTTCCGGCGCAGCCTCATGCAACGTCTCATCATTGACCACAACATGGCCACCGCCAACCAACCTCAGGCAGATAGTCAGGCAGGAAGAACGAACCGTACGCTGCAGGGAAATTTGCGAGTTTACATCCAACAGAACTCATCTAACTGACCAGATTTTGTTGCTTCCGCAGAGCGAGTTTATAATACTACACTGCACTCGTCAACTCGTTGCTCCCCGGCGTCCTCGCCCTACACCGAAACTCCACTGGCTATCCCGACGCTGGATCTCGCCGTTGCAAGCCAGACCCGAATGACCGCCTTTTCTGACTTCAGCACGCAGCATCCAGTGCGCGAAATGCATGAGAACAGCACAGGAAAGTCAAGCCAGAATCTACGACAAAGGATGTTCCGCAGTTACTTTCAGCCCAGCTGACTTGGTTCTAGTAGACTTGCTTGCCCTCAGTAGCGCGCAGGGAGGCGAACTTCCTTGCGGCTTTCCAGGCGCTTATCATCTTCTCCAGCGATTCTGACTTCTTGGGAATTCATATCAGTGCCTATTCACTCTGTTACACTACAACAACCTGCTCGGGAAGCCGTGCGGTAACATGCTAAGCGTCGTACAGAAGCCGTAACGTACCGCCTGTGTGTACATGTATGTATGTATGTGTATGTGTGTGTGTGTGTGAGAGAGAGAGAGTGTGTGTGTTTCTGTGTGTGTGTTTGTGCGGGTGAGTGGTGGAGAGCCATAGGCATCCTGTTGCCTTCTCTGCGCCGGCTCGGCCATAGCTGGGCGGGCTTACCAGAGCTGCAGCGGTAGCAACAGCCCCGCCAGAGTCGCTTTTCTTCCCTTTATATGCTAGTACTACCACTACCACTACCATCATTAACCGTTTGTTTGCCACTACGGCGGTTGCCGATGTGCTCTTCCCCGCTCCTTTCGCCGCACAGGAGCAGCAGTTGATGCCGCGGAGCCTTGTACTGCGCGGTGAGCAGCACCCGCAACGGGACCGGGAGCGCGAGCAGCAGGAGACAGGGCACAGATCTATCACATTCCACATTGACGTCGGCGCACGAGGAAGTGCGCTTCTCGCCGATGGAGAAGCACATCTAGCCTGGTCTGCCTGCAGTTAGCACAGGGGCCTCCACTTCGCCTTGGTAGGTTGCGTGTAAGCAAATACAAGCGCTCTATAAGCTTATTCAGAGGTTAAGAATGCAGTAAAGGAAGCTCTTTTGAAGCTCCCTTGTGTGCAAGAGGGAAGCTTGCTTGTATAATCAGCCGTAGAAAGGTGCTCTGCAGCTCCATTTCAGGCTGCCTTCTCCCTGAAACACCCGCGCCCTGAGCTCAACACCCAGGACGCCCGAGGACAGGGAATGTAGGTCAGCTGCTTTGGAGAAAGTCTTATTTCAAGTCTTTACCTACATTGCAGCTCGCTTCTGTCCTTGATTAGGAGCAGAGAGCAAGCATTGTACTCTGAACCCGGTGTATGCAATATTCCCGTGCAGCTAGGTGCCCTGTACTCTTGTCAATCCCGGCTGTCGGAAAAACTTATGTCAAGCATTTTAACTCTTTTTCCGCTCACTACACTCATTGCATAAGCGGAGGAATGTCCGTTACTCTGTACACCTCGATGCAAGCCAACCCAACGTCCAAGCAGGTCGAAGCACCCGTCGATACACCCCCTAAAGCTGTAAGCAATCGCTAAGCGCTTGTTTAGCTCTCAGTAGCGAGCCTTCACGGGAACGGCCATATCCACACAGAACATGCTATAGGAACGCTTGGTGATTGGTGAGTGTTCAGCTGGTCACTTCACTTGTCGGTTGCCTCGGCGGTCTTCCGTGCTTCCCCCTCTCTACTGCATTCGATGGATTGTGTAGATCTATTTCAGCATACACTTTTCAAGGAATCAAACACCAATGTCTTGGTTGCCTTGTCCTCTGTCGCGCATAGGCTAGAGTTGTNAGTTGTAGCATGAGTTAGCGCTCGCAAACGTTCTACAAGTTCGTTCAGAGGCAAAGCATGCAGCAACGGAAGTTTCGCTGAAGCTTCCTTACGTACACGCGGGGGGTTGGCTTGCACTACCAGCCGCTGCTGTGCGCTGCAACCCCATTTCTGGCTGCCTCCTCCCAGCAACACCCAGGCCCTGAGCTCAACGCCCAGGATGCCTAGGGAAAAGGGAAGGATGTCAGCTGCTAGGTCTTTGCCTGCATTGCGGCTCGCCGCTGGCCAGATGAAGGCCAGAGAACAAGCGTTACAAGGGGGGCAAGTACTACTAGTGTGGCATCTACTACTGCCACCGCTGCGTCGAGCTTATTCAAACGAACTTTTCTATACTCATCTCTGGATATCCAAATTTACTAGTGATAGACGAAATAGTTTTTAAATAACATTTAGGTTTATGTTCTGTTTATCGAAAGAAGTGCTGCCTCCCCATCACCCCGCCACCGTTTGCTTGGGGGCGGTTGCCTCTCTGCTAGCAGGGGCCATGCTGTTGTTTCTTTGCATGCGTTCTAGCGGCATTAAGAGTTTTTCTTTTTTACGTATTATATCACATATATCGAGAGGATTTGTCTGAGTTGCTTTGCTCTTTTTCTGGGGGTGTCCAAGAACTTCCCTAGTGCAGCCAGTACTACATTCCTCTCCCTTTCACTCAACCTGCATGAGGCTCGACCCGTTCTTGTATTGCTGAGGCCTCTTGCTGCTTTCCCTTTTCTGGCTTTAAGGTACGTTCTTCTTTGATAGTAGCAGCATCGTTCTACTGAACAGATGCGAGCTGTTGACCCGGTATTCCCGCTTTTTTTTTGTCTTTTTCACCAGGCAGAAACAGCAGGCAGACGCTGGGTCTTCGTCTGTATTTCGATTGTTTCACGCACCTGTATTCTATAAAAACACAATATGAATTTCTTAATGTTCTCTGGGAGNGTATTTCGATTGTTTCACGCACCTGTATTCTATAAAAACACAATATGAATTTCTTAATGTTCTCTGGGAGCCTCAGAGCCGACGCCTCGCTGCTCCTACATGCCGATGATGGCTTGTGTTGCAGTGCTGCCCCTGGTGTTCGTTCCTCCGGCTAGTAGAGGCCAAACACAATCTTATGCGGAATACATTGTATGCAGCATATAATATATATGTTTTTGCGTGTACACTGCAGGCACCGCCCCCAGCAGTTGTGAGGACTGGAGTTAGCACTGAAACGGGGATACACCTTCGCCATGGCGGCGGGACACAAAGCCAGCGTGGAGGCTGCAGCAGTTCCTTCGGGAACGGATGGAGTGTATGAAAAGCAGCCGAGAGCTGCAGCACCAGTTGAATCCAGTGCTGCTGCTGGGAGGAACAAGGCTGCAGCAGCTGGCACCCCGAGGGCTACAGCCTTCGCTTTAGTGGGCGTGTTCAGTATTCTGTTTATCTTGGGGGCCCTCGTGGCTTCGCAGCAAAAAATATTACAGAAATTACGAAAGGACGATGTGACACCCTCGGTGCCTCCAGAGGTTCCCGAAGAACCCCCGGAGCAACCACTCCCCTCGCCGCTTTCTTCTTCTGTAGANCGGTGCCTCCAGAGGTTCCCGAAGAACCCCCGGAGCAACCACTCCCCTCGCCGCTTTCTTCTTCTGTAGAGGAGGAGGCGGAAGCTGACGAGCAAGCTGACGAGCAAGCTGAGGAGCAGCATACACCGGAGGAACCCTCGCGGTCACCTTCACCTTCACCTTCACCTCCTACGCAGGAGGAGGGTCAAGAGGACGTGGATAAACCTCTGTTTCCTAGAGTTCATAGCCCTCTGCCTCCTCTCGTTGAGAGCCCTGTTCCGACGATGGTTGAGAGCCCCCTGCCACCAGCGCCAGAGAAACACAGCGATCTTCCTGATCTCGATGATATACCTCGGAGTTTAGAGCGGGGTAAAGATGCTCTGTTTCTTGCTGCTGAGATGGGGAGTTTAAGTTCAAGTGTGGAGAAAGGAAAGCTCCTAGGTAGAAAGCTCTGGGGGATGACGAAAGCTGCAGCACAAGCACTGACAGGGGGGGCGCTAAAGAGTATCGTTGACGCTACGATTACGCTTTCTGAACGGAACCTTGTTTCCTCTGAAACTTTTTTAGGTCTAGCAGGACAACCGCTGCACATAGAACGTATCATTGGTTTCGGGCCGACAAGTGTATACTTTACAGCCACAACATTTTACCAGACAACATACACTATACGTCTTCCTGTATTTCCCCTCAGCGCTGGACTAGCCGCCGGAGATTGCTGGCGCTCTTTGGAGCGAGAAAAACAAGCAGTTGCACATGCATGCGGTAAAGAGAATTTGAATGTTGCATCGGAGAGAAGAGGACTTCTTATTCCTCTTTCCGTTGCTACAGTTGACGGGATGGCTAGCGAGACAGTGACAGAGTATGGATTTGTTCTGAATGAAGTGACTATCATGAAGCCGTTGTTGGCAAACCTAGCGAAGGTATTGGCATATCTACCTGATCACGGCGCCGACACCGCAGCTGCGAAAGAGTATACGGCTCGTCGGTTGCTACTGCAGACGCTGCAGCTTCACGAGGCGGGTGTCAGCCACAACGGCTTACGCCCCCAAAGTATATTCGTCGATACCTCTGGCGGTTTCCTGCTAGCAGGAATGGAGGCGGTGACCCTCTATGGTGAGGACTTGCCTGCAGATGCAGAGCTGAGTACGGTGTATGCAGAGCCGCAGCTCGTGAAGGAGTTCGACGAGTATATGCAGGGGGGGGCCCCGGTAAAGGCGAACGAGAAGAGTGATCTATGGAGCCTGGGGGTTCTCCTGTATGAAGTATTCACAGGAAAGGAGTTTAAAGAGCTGATGCAAGAGGGCCAGACATTTGATGAAACCGCAGCAAGCAACGCGGATATACAGCTCGCCATAGTGAGTACACCACCTGTATGGAAGGATCTGGTGCTTCGCTTGCTACAAACAAAGAGAGAGAAACGCATATCTCACAGTGAAATACTACAAGAGTTCAGTTCCCTTCTATAACCGGGTCTTATATGCAGGCAAACAAACCAGAATACTGTCGTTTTTTATATTTTGTGAATGAGGGAAAGGGGAAAGCTATACTAGAAAGCTAGCTGCATCAACCTCTATAGCATCAACTTGCAGTTCTATGGAGAAGCAGCTACATACGAATTCAACAAACATTTCGCCGCAAATATATATATATATATATATATATATATATATATATATATATATATATATATATATATATATATATATACATATAGGAGTATATGTATATTCTTTTGTGAATTCGAAAGATTGAATGAATGGCGATTGCTAGCACAGGGGCTCAGCAAGCGTTATTCGGCAGCTGCTGTTGCTGCTGCTGCTGCTGCTGCTGTTGCTGCTGCTGCTGCTGCTGCTGTTTCTGCTGCTGCTGCAGCTGCTGTTGCTGCTGTTGCTGCTGCTGCTGTTGCTGCTGCTGTTGCTGCTGCTGTTGCTGCTGCTGCCGCTGCCGTCAGTGCTTTGGTTAGGGAAGCGCGTTGTAGATTGCTCTCCATCCGACGAAAGCGAAATAATAAAGTTAATTGCGAGGCAATAAATGATAATACTTAGTTTATAGAGAAGTAAACAAAGGAAAAAAAAAGAGAACGAGAAAAAATAAAACATTTAGATTCACTTTTTCTGCAATAGTAACTTGAAATTTCATCATGTACACCTGAATAAGTTCTGGCTCATTCAGTGTTTCTCATCAACTATATGTAAACTCTAATTAAAAATTGTATTTCAGTAGAAAATAAATTTTAATATTTAATATAATCATTAACTTTATTAAAACACCAACATTTTTATCATCGTCGATGCTCGTGTATAAAACAAAGAATGTAGGGGCTGAGGGTCAGCTCAGTTGAGTGTAATGCAACATATAAACGGCTGCATTTCTTCTGCGTAATGAATACTTAAAAAAAAAAATAAATAAATTTATAAAACAAAAAGAGATATAAATATGTTTTCAGTAAGAGATAAAAAGAAAAGAAAAACAAAGAAAATACAAGTACTGCAAAAGTGGAAAAAATCAAGCGGAGTACGAAAGAGAACTACACCAAATAGATATTATAATAATATATATAAAAAGAAAAAAA